CACTAAGCTCAAAGGCATATCAATTGCAGCATAACTCAAGGCTAGAAGGGTTATTTGTCAACAAATACCTTCGAGTTCGATTACACTCAGCTCAAAGGCATATCAAATTTACAGTATAGCTCAAGGCGAGAAGGGCTATCTGTTATCAAAGACATTCGAGTTCAATTTCATTTAGCTCATAGGCATATCAACCGCATGGTAGCAACGAGGAACAACCTTCTGGAAGAATTTTCAAGCCGAGGTCTTTAATCAAGAAGAACACCAAAGCCCAATTCCAGGCTCAGCCTGAAGCCTAATTACAGTTACTCTCTAACAAATGTATCAAGTCTCAAAACAAAAAAAAGGACCGGACAAAAACTGGTTGTCTTTTTCGTCTTTGCCCTATTTTTGTTAACACAAGAATTTGCAAAGAAGAGGTAGCTGTAGACCCCAGATTTTGTCCTCATCCCAGCATTACACCAAGCTTCCACTAATGCATGTTTCTTGCCAACTCACAAGGATAAAAATGCATGTGAGATCTGATCTAAAGCATGATCACGCCAAGTTGCTATTTTTTTATGTAAAGCTATGTAAAATAAGGGCTATAAATAGCCGAATGAAAATGTAAGAAAATGGTGGTTCTTCTCGTTTTTTCCAGAAATAATAAGCAATTTTACAGGTATATTTGTTGTGCTAGTTTTGTGGGTATTTGAAATACAAGTTTTTTTTTTATTTCGAAAATAAGCAGAAAAATCGAAAAAATCAATAATGTTTTTTATGCATAATAAAAATTATTAGAAGAGGAAGAAGAAAGTAATGATTTACCTAGATAGTGTAGTTTTATTTTCTACGGTGGCTGGAGTAAGGAGGAGTCGAATAGTCAAGGTGTATTTGGGGTAATTTTCGAGTGTTTTTCTTGATTTTCTAGCTTCAAAATCGTTCCTAAGAGGTAGATCTAGGATAGATAAAGGTTTTGGAAAATTTTGGGACTATTTGGGAATTTCCGGCCACCATACACAGCGGCCGGTACGGTGGCCGGACGGATCCGGCTGCTGATCAAGGGTGGCTGACCGAAGAATACTTGAGAGAGATTGAGAGTTCTCTCCCCCTCTCTCTAATTTTTTTAAGTGTTTGGGTTCAAATGAAAGAAAAAATATATGAAATGTTAGTATATATAGGGAAACTTAGTGGTAAAATCACGCCTTAAATACCTCTATTTTTACCCGTGTTTTGCATTTTGGTCCCTAAAAGGACCATAACTGATATTATACATTTCTATCATATATGCTTTAATTATTTGGTAAAATCACTATTTAAATCCTTATAACTTAGCTACGTATTTAAATCTTGGTCACTAATCCTTTCATTTTTAATTTATTTTTATTTTATTACGCAATTTTATTTTATTTCAATTCAGTCCTTATTAGATCTTAATTTAGCTACTGAATTTTAATTTCTTACGTTTCGATCTATATTTATTTTTATTTAGTTACCATCTTTTATTTTATTGCACTTTAATCTACATAATTAGATTTTATTACAATTTAGGTCCATGTATTTATTTTAAATTGATTGTTGAGGTTCTTATTTGTTCATATTTATTTATTAGGTCCTTCTACTTTAATCCTTTAATTTTCTGTTTGTGCTATTTTAGTAATTTTTTTTCTTTTGCTATTTAATCTATTAAGTTTTTGTTTTTCTCTTACAGCTCATTCCTAGAATTAATTCGATCCGTGAATTTTAATTATTTCTAATTTCTTTTTATTTTATTTTTATAAATTCTCTTTCACTCCCTTCTATTTATTTACCTTTTTATATTTTAATACTAACTCTTTGTCTTTGTTGGTTTTATTTTTTTACTTTATTTTTATTTTTTAGGGATAATTTTAATTGATCAAAAGGTAAATAATTATGATCGAATTTTTAAATTTTAATTTTCGCAATTAAGACAACCGATAAATTAAATGGTACCGAAAGGGCAGTTCGAGGGTGCTAATCCTTCATTGACTGTAACTGACTCCCGAATCCGACATATTTCTGGTAAAACGCAGATCAGGTAAGATGGTATCCGATCAACCAAATTTTTTACGAAAAATAAATGATCGGTAGCGACTCTAATATTTTATTTCAAGTCGAAGCCGAATTCCGGGCCCACCCGAAAGACGGTTGTGACAAACCCAACCAAAGTCACCAGTTTTAAGGACATAATCCACCATTAGCTAGTTTTAAATGAAACTCCACCGACAAAAAAACCTTTTTCACATAATAAACAAACACCAGGCATCACATCTCCAACAAACACTCTACATTTGACAAACCATCACAAATAAAACAGTGCTCGTATGAGGGGAAAAGGGGGAAAAGAAGAAGAAATGAGCAAAAATTAGGAGTGTGGGTGTTTATGAAGAAGAAATGGATAAATCCAAAAGGAAATGAAATCATAGTAAGATGAGAGAAAAGGGGGGTGTTGGACTATAAAAAGATGGGATTTTTTTGGGGTTCCCCTGTGAGAAATGGGTAATTATTGACAAGAAGAATATGTGGAATTGTAGGTAGGTAATGAAGAAAGACATGCCAATTCAGGTTGGGTTGAAAAAGAAGGGGTTGGGTTGAAGAAGAAGAAGAGCATGTTAAAATGTTATAATATGGTCAAATGAGATTTCAACGATTCTCCACTGTGGCGGTGAATGATCCTGATAATAAGATAATGGCCCAGTTGTGAATTCTGTTACGTCGGTTAACATCGAGTGACCAATTTGTAATAAACGATAACATTAGTGACCGATTTGTGACTTTTGAAACATCAGTGGTGAAAACGAAAACTTATTGAAATATTAGTGATCATTTGCGTAGTTTACCCTTACTTAAATTATTAATCAATTAGTTTAAATATAAAATGAAGTATTCAAATATCGAGAGGGATGGGCATCATTTTTTGGATGACCCTAGTAGAATTATGTGTGGTGCTCCAATTGAATCTACCTCACATATTCCATGAATGTATAATGAAGTGGTGAAGCTGGATAAGTTGAATGAGTTTCTCATCATGAATATGAAGGAACGAGCATTCATCAGTCTTAGTATTTTTCGATACCAAATGAGGATTGAGATTGTTCTTTGGATAGGTGGTTTTGGGTCTTTGGCTACGTCGGAATTGAACTATTTATGATCCAGATTTCTTGGAGTCAGAAAGTGTGCTAGAATGTAGCAAACGATTATGTTTGGAGGCATGACAGGCAATTTTGCAGCAACCGATTGGACAAAGGGGCGTGTGTCGAATGCAAGGATGGCAATGCCCATCTGAAAGATGGTGCAAACTAAATTCGGATGGTACAAGAAAGCTCTAGTCGAGTATAGCGGCATGTGGAGGTGTCATCCGGACTCAAGTGGTAGGTGGATCAGAGATTATACCAAGGCGATTGGGTGCTGTTCAGTTTTGGACGTGAAATTCAGTAGTGTGTATGTGGGTTTAAAAATTGATTAGGGTTTGGATTTGAAGACTAATGTTGTCGAAACTCACAACGAGGAGGTTTTGAAATTGCTTACGCAAGGTACCACGATGGATCGTATATTCCAGATGCTGCCACATATTGTTAACTTTCTATTATGAGATTGGCAGTTGAAATTTCTCTATGACTTTCTAGAACGAAATTCGATAGCTGATGGTTTGGCAAAAATGACCTGCTCGCTTCCATTTGGAGTTCATCTGTTTGCTCACCCTTCGCCTGCTATCAGTTGTTTGCTTCAAGAGGAGCTGTCCAGTGATGGTTTAATTAGCTAATCTATTTCGCTTTTATCTCTACATTATTATGTATTCAAATATAAAATAAACTAATTTAATTAATTGCATTTAGATACGTTTGATTTGATAAAAGTAATTTTTTTTTTTATAATTAAATATTTTTTAAAAATATATATTAATTTAGATTTTTCAATTATTTTGATTTATAATTCTAATCTTGACAATAAAACGATTTAATTATAAGATAAAGTATATAAATGGTCTATCGATTATAGGATGTTGTTTTGTTGAGTCTCCTGATTATTAAAAGTTATAAAATTTTCCTTTTACTATAGACAGTTACTTTGTCGAGTCTATCAACTATTAAAAGTTACAAAATGGTCAGCCGATTATTCATATGTTCCAAACTCATTATTTTTCATTAAAAATTTGACGGTCATTTGAACTGGACATTAACATGTTCACTAAGATATGATAGTCTTCTGACTATAGGTTGTTGCTTTGTCGAGTCTATCAACTATTAAAAGTTATAAAATGGTCAACCGATTATTCATATATTCCAAACTCATTATTTTTCATTAAAAAATTGACGGTCGTTTGAAATGGACATTAATGTGTTGACTAAGATATGATAGTCGTTCAAGATTCTATGATCAAATTTCATCATATCACAGTTAGTAATTTAACGTCCAACTCAGATTGTTGTCAATCTTTTAACGAAAAATGACGAGTTTGGAACATATGGATAGTTAGGTGATCATTTTGTAACTTTGAATAGTCAGAGGACTCAACAAAGCAACACCCTATAGTCAGAAGACTACTTTGGAACTTTTAATGGTCAAATGATTCAATAAAGTAATGTACTATAGTCGAGGTACCATTTGTGTACTTTACCCTTAATTATATACAATTCTAACGATATTCCACAGAAGCAAACGAGATTTGGTTTTAATATATGACGTGGTGAAAGCTTAACAAATGTGATATTATAAAGCTTTTCTTTATTTGGAACCTATGGCTAATCATGAGAGTTAGTTTTAACGGTCAATCATTTTTTCCCGGACAAAAGTACTCCACGTTCCCTTTTCTCCTTCTTCTTCTTCTTCGTTATTTATCATCTACAAGATGGATGTTTCGTATCAATTTCATTCGGGTTCAGGGATATGGTGATGCTTTTCTAAACATAAGAAAACATTACCGGTGTCAGATATATATGTATACATATTAAACATATGTATATGTATATCTGACACTGTCATCCCGAATCTCAATAACAGTGATCATCTGCGTTGAATAATCCAGTTAAGGTATTCTTCAGTTCTGAATCATCTTCGCTTATTGTATTTGTTATCTATGAATCAATAGATTCTCATAATTGAGTTTTCTTTCATTTCGAATTTAATAGGTAAGATGTTAGGTATTGGGTTTCGATTTAATTGGGTTTGTTTATTCTGCATTTATCTCAGGTTTGTATTGCTAGTTGTTCTGGATTATCATCCAGTCCCAAGAGCAATTTTGGAAAATGACTGCAACCGCCACTTCATTTTCCAATTCACAAAGGAATTTGAAGGGGTTTACAAGGGTCCTAAAGTATGCTGCTTGTGAATGGATTCTTATCTTTCTGCTGTTCATTGATGCTGCCTTATCTTATATGCTTACCAGTTTTGCAAACTACTGTGAACTGCAAAGCCCTTGCATTCTATGCTCGCGGCTCGATCATATTTTCGGGAAAGTAAAAGAAGGATTTTATCAGAATCTATTTTGCCGCCACCATAGATCGGAGATTTCATTCTTGCTTTCCTGCAACATCCACGACAAGCTCGTCGATGGTCGTGGTATGTGTGACGAATGTCTGTCGTCACATCTCCAAGGACACGAATCCGACTCGGATACGCAGAGACTCATTGAAGGAAAACTAGGGTATGATGGAAAATTTGGTTTTCGAAGCTCGGTTCCCGATGGGGTCATAAGGTTGTGCCTATGCTGCAACAAACCGTGGGTTGGAAGATCAGATTCACATACATTACTTCACTTAAAATCACATGACACGACGATTTCGAAGTTGAACGTGTCTCGTAGCTTAAGTCTTTCACATTACTTGAAGAAAATTAGCCATAAGTGTTGTGCAGCAGCAGCATCTCATGTAGGAGACACTGAGCTAAAGATCACTTCTGAATTCAAATCCGGGTTTCCGTTGGCTGATAATCTCCACGCCAACAGCGTAGTTCGTGATGTAATTGAGAACGAGCCTAAGAAACAGCCTGATGCTATTGAATCTCGTGATGTGAGATGTTTGGCTCGAGTGAGTGAGAATAAAGAGAAACTGGCAGATGAGAAGGGAAATTTCAATGACCTCCCTGGGCTTGTTTCTCTTGATGATTGTCCTTCATTTGACCTTACGGAAGATCCGAGCTTCAGTGCTGCATTACTGGCTGATCTTATTTCTCTGGCTGAAACTTCGAATCCCGATAATGTTAAGGATGTTCCTATCGAATCATTTTCAGACAATTGTAAGCTCTCTCTGTTTCTCTCTCTTTGTGTATGTTTTTGCAGATCTTATGTTGTTATGACTAATATCTGGAAGGGTTTGCAATGGCAGCAAGTAATACTGAAAATACTTCTGTCAATAACAACGACGAAATCATGAACACATCAGCTGGAGCTCGTCTCGAATCTGGCCGAGTTGTGACCGATACATCCAGGCTAAATTTAATTGCTGGGGATCGGAGTGCACCCGAGTTTGTTATAAAATATATGCTAGCTTACACTAATGGGGATAGTGGAGATCTTAAGTCATCACCAGCAAGTAAAAGTGAAAATATTTCTCTCAACAAGAACGACGAAATCACAAAGTCGATAAGCACCGAAACTTGTACCAGTGCCGATACTGATCGAGTTGTTGCTGATACTAAAAACAATGGAGGTAATGAAGGTCTTAAGTCATTGCCGGCGCAGAATTCTAATGGAGAAGGTAATCAAATTTCGTTGAACTATTTAAGTCCCGAGTTACAAGATCGTGCAGCTGAATTGCTGAGAACCGATTCCAACTCTGTTGAGGTTCGGAATCTTCAGAACCTGTTCGTCGAGGCAATAACTGAATCCAATGGCCTCAAACCTTTCGATGAAAGCAGTGTCACCGAAGGTGAAAGTCTAGTAGATAGGCTCGATAATGCCCGGGAGTACATAAATGCATTATCTAAGGAATTAGAGGAAGAAAGAAACGCTTCTGCAATTGCTGCATATCAGGCAATGGCAATGATCACGAGGTTGCAAGAAGAGAAGGCATCTCTCCGCATGGAGGCCCTGCAGTACCTGAGGATGATGGAAGAGCAAGCCGAATATGACGTCGAAGCCTTGGAGAAAGCTAACGATCTTCTGACAGAAAAGGAGAGGGAATTACAAGATCTTGAAGCAGAGCTTGAATATTACAGAATGAACTTCCCTGATGAAATACCAAACAAGACCGGACCCGACGCAAACGTCGACTTAGACAATGAACATGTTCGGACGGTGAATACAACCACATATTCCAATAAAGATGATATAGAAAATGAGGCAACCACATGTTCCAAGAAAGTTGATACGAAAAATACCTTAGAAACAGGATTCCCCGAGGCTTTTGTAGTTGAGGATGAACCCGTAGTCATAAACGCATGGTCCGAAATTGAAGACGAGAAGTTGTACATCTCTCACCTGTTGCAAAAGTTGGAGAAGAAACTTAGCAAGCTTGCTCAGTATGGGGCTTCACGAGACTTCTCCGATAGAGAACACTCCGAAAACGAAAATTACGAAAAACGAGAGCCGAAAGCTTTAACGGTGACTAATGGAACCGGTCCTTCTCAAGAGAGTTCAAGTGCTTCAACAAGCAAAGATGAAGCAGTGAGCAGGGAAAGTGGTGATACGGTTTCCAATGGGGAGGGGGATGGTGAAGAATGCAGAGAAAATGGGTTGGAAGCTCTTGAAAATGAAATTTCAGAGCTGAATGAGAGGTTGGAAGCACTAGAGGCAGACTGTAGTTTTCTTCAGCATTCATTAAGTTGTCTTAAACAAGGAAAGGAGGGACTGTTTCTAATTCAGGAGATACTTCATCTACTACGAGAAGTAAAGAAAATTGGGTTAAAGACCATGGACCCGTCTGTTCTGTGAGCTCTATGTGCATTGTGTAAAAGGTATGCATTTTAAACCCTGAAATTGTAAACCCTAAACCCTGAATTCTATTCTGATTGATTTTCAACGTATTTCAGGTGCGTCCCAGACTGAGGGTAACTAGCTAGTAGCAGGAGTGCATGAGTTTACAAACAAGGCAACGCCCTAGAGTGATCAGATATGGGGGGTAAAACAGTAAAAAAAATGATTACTTACCTATGTTTCTGAAACACTTGTGTGGCTAAGTTGTAGACTGGCGTGATTCTTTTGTTCAACCATTTTTTTTAATCTTTAATTGTAAACTTGAGAAAAATCCCAATATAAGCATATTCTTCTTCATTCACTTGGTGCCACCCCATAGTAATGTTATATACTTGTATAATATACATATATATGAAAATTTATGACTCGACAAGTGAAGGTAGTAAAGATAATATTAAGACACCCATTATTAAATGTTAACCCAAATCAGAACCTTTTAAATTAAAATTTCAGTTGTAAGATAATCCAAATCGTCGATGTCACTCTTTATCTATGATGAAATACTCAATCGTATTGGAGTTTCACTATTGCCTCCCTCTTTCAATGGTAGGACCATTCTTTATCTTGATGAGATACTCAATCCTATTGGAATTTCACTATTGCCTCCCTCTTCAATGGTAGGACCATCCTCACAGTCACCTCCATTACGGATGTAATACTCATAATATGCCTAATTTGATGGAATTTTTAAATATGAAAGATTAAATTAATTGAATTATTTTAAATTAAGATTAAATTGATATATATATATATATATGGAGTAAAATTGTTTTTAAGATTAATTTGATAACTTTATAAATATAGATAGTTAAATTTGTAAATGTGGAGGGTTAAACTGATAAAAAATCTAAATACGAGAGTTAAATATATTAAAATATTTAGAATTAAGATCAACTTAATATGATTTGACGGTTGGGTCGTGGGAGTAAGAGCTCGTCTGAGATTTTACGCGCTTGAAGGGTTAGTCCTTTCCTACTCTCATCTTAAAATTAGTTTGGAGTGGCTTTTTATACATGGTGTGAGTGAAAAGAAAAAATAGAAAATTTTTAGAATAAAGTTAGTTCGATGACTAATCATCTTAAAATGTTTTAGAATTAAGCTTTATGGGAAGCGTATAGATATGACTAATCATGTAAATGAACATTTGTATATAGCTTGAGCATCTGACTTTTTTGTGGGGTGCTCTTGTCATTGATCTGTAGCAGCTTTTGTTGTTTTCTTTAGATATAATACATGTAAATTTATCTAAGCAAATAATATGTAAGTTTTGAGGATTAGATTTGTGTCGGAATGATTAGTTTGATGATGAGACCATACTAATAAAATTAATAAATTTTGAGATTTTAACTGATTGGATTAATATGATTTAGAATCTAATGATTGAATGTATAAATAATATAAATAAAATACATTATTAATAAATTTATTATTTACCACGCTACTAATTTCTTTAACAGGTAAAATATAAATATAAAAAAATATTCAATGATAAGAATAAAATGAATCCAATAATATAATAGCTATAAAGATCATTTACACATACCTTATTTTTCTAAAAGAAAATACGATATAAAGAGACGAAAGGAGTGTTTAGTTTTGCCTCTTTCGGCACGTTCTTGTGACCTCCACATGTCCATTCTAAAAATAGTTTGCCATTGGCGTCGGAGCTTTGCCAATTTGGTGGTGTACGTCTTTGCTGACGTTTATAACATCGGCAACCGCCTTGCTCTTATGAAATAAGATGAATTTTCATTTGTTCACACTTCACACTTGTTTTATACGTAAGGTTATCCGACAACAGGGGCGGATGTACATGCTCCTTAGGGGAGCCATTGCACACCCATTATTTTGAAAAAATGTTAAATTCAATTTAATTTGTTAATAGGAATAGAAAAAAAAAAAAAAATTTGCATACCAAATTTTTTAAAATAAAATATTAAAATTTTAGACACCATTTTTTAATTTCTAGATCCGCCACTATCTGACAACCCTACACTTCCTTTTGCATGGACTCCAGATCAAGCTGTGAAGACTAACGTAGTTGTTCTGTACTCTTAATTCTCAAGCTCCATCATTGATACGAAATTTCATTAAAAAGGGTAAATTACACCTTTAATATTCAAATTATCAGTTTTGTTTCATTTTAGCACCTAAACTTTCATTTATTTCAAAACCTACCAAACTTTTATTTTTGTTTCATTTTAGTACCTCGTTGTTAAAAACTTAAGGAACTATTGCACTTGTCATTTTTCTATAGATAAATTACATCATTCATTGTTTAACTATCTTCTCACTCCTATTAATAATTTTTGTGACATGAAATTTTTATTATTATTTTATTAATATGAAATTAAAATAAAAAATAAATTTGAAAGTTAAAGTAATTAAATTAGGAGTAATTTGAAAGTTAACTAATTAAATTAAAAAATTAAACTTCAGTGATAAAAATAGGAGTGAAAAGATAGTTGATGATGAATGATGTAACTTACTCATAAAAAGTGTCATCTTTTAATAGTTCTACTAAGTTTTTAGCGGCGAGATACCAAAACAAATAAAAAATAAACGTTAGATATTATTTTGAAATAAATGAAAGTTTTAGTATCAAAATATAATAAAATTAATAGTTTAGCGGCTAAACGTGTAGTTTACCAAAAAAATCAACACTTTTCACACCTTTTACGTTCCTAATCATTAGGTACGAACAAATACAAAGAATATGATTATAAAATTGGATTCTAACTGTCACGTATCCTACGAATAAATTTTTAATATATACTATATTAATAAAAATATCAATCAAATCAAATTAAATTTATTTACTATTTTTTAAGGAAGACGAACTAATTAATATGGAATCGAAATTTTAGATGTACCGCTCATTAGAAAACTAATTTATAATTTATTGAGATTGAAATAATTAATTATTCATTGCTTAGCTTATGTAACAAGGGTTCCTCCCTAAACACGAAAAATTATTAGATAGATTTGATTCGTCACGTTATTCATGATTTCAATTAATAAAATTTATTAATCTTAACTTTTTTCAAAGTAAATATTTATCTCTTTCCTACATGTAATTAAAAAATGACTAATTATTTGAAAATTATTTTAAAACAAATAAATCTTATTAACTAAGACCATAATAACATAGTGAGTCAAGTCCATGTAGTAATTTTTCCCGAATAAAATAAAAAGGCTATAAGAAACTTCTAAATTACCTAAGCTTAAATGTTTTTGACATTTAAATAGCAACTAATCTACTATAATAATTGAAAGAATGATAATCTTATCAAGCTACAAATAATATACATAACGAGAAGGGCTACTTAGCTTTGCGAGGTTAGGAGACGAGCGACCACCAAACCTTGAAGCACCGCCAATGAAAAGGTGAGGAAGTCGAACAATCTCGGCTTAGATCTACGACGTTTGGGTACTTTTAGAGGAATCGAGTTTCGGATTCTTGTTTAGGGTGTAGAGGAGTGCATTTGGTGCAAGTTTGGTTTTTCCAGCCACTTGGAGCGTCGTCGGAGCGGTGGTCGGTGGCAGCCTATACGGTGGGGGAGTCGCCGAAGCGGAGATCGGCCCTTTGGCCGGATGGGGAGAGTTGAGAGGATTTGGGGGATATGAGGGAGAGGATATTTTGAGGGAAATGAGGAAGTGAGGTGAATTGAGGGGTTTTGGCCCATTTATATACGGGGACTAAGTTGCAATTAGCCAATAGTTAAACCTTTTCCGCCGTCCCTCAATTTTTGAAGTATAATTCATTTTGGTCACTATATGCAATATGGCCTCTGAATTTTCAATTTATTCAATTCGATCCCTATTTATAATTTACATTTTTTACAATTTAACCCCTCTAACTCTTTATTTTTATCTTGCAGCTCATTTTTAGTACCAATTTAATCCATCAATTTCTGTAACATCCCAAAAGTCGGGTCAATGACCAAAATAGAATTTTGGTAAATTTAGTGACCAATTTCAAAAAGATGGAAAGTTCAGGGACTTAAATGAAAAGTTTTGATAATGGATTTAATAGCAAAGTTTGAAAGTAATAAGGGTATTATGGTCATTTTTCAGGAAATATTTTTATTTCCCTTTATAAAAGGTGATAAACACGTGGGAATGAGATAATTTCTCCAGAGTCTTCTTTAGTTTCTTCTTCCTCTCAACGTGAGCTCTTCATGGCTAAGGTGAGTTTGATTTGCAATTGATTTTCTTGTAATTAAAAGAATGGTTTTAATTGATGGAGCATTAGGAAAGATTAAGAGAACTTAAAAGGAGATAGAAAACTAAAGATAAGGAAGTTATGGAAGATTTAATATAAGGGATGATCAAGTGAAAATTTGAATAAGAGAGTTTAAATGGAATTGGAAGTTGAATTTGACTTGTCACCAACTTGATTAAGGAATATGAAGTGTTAGAATTAGATTTAGAACATGTTGAAATTTGAGTGAGATTCTTGAATTCTATGTGGAGGATTGGATTTTGAAGTTTAAGAGCTATTGAATGGGTATTAAAAAGTTTAAATAGGTGTATGCAAGTTAGGGATATTAAAAGAGGTGAAATATGAAGTGTTGAGAGGATTATGAAGGGATTTTCGTGCTTAAAATAACATTTCTGGGCTGTGTGCATCGATACACATTCAATGTGTACCGATGCACTCTCAAATAAATGAACATCGAATGCAATTAGTGCATCGATGCATAAGGAGTGCATCGATGCATCTCCTTAAGATGAAAACATCGAATGCAATTTATGTACTGATGCATAAGTAGTGCATCGATGCACTCGTTAAAGGATGCATTGATATACTGTAGAGTGCATCTATATCTATATTATTTAAGAGATGAAAGTAACATTTCTTTTAGTCTAAGAAGTGATAGATTAGAATATATTAATTAGTATACCGATATGTATCAATGTATTACTATGTAGATATAGAACGTAATCTTGTTCCGGAACAATAAAAAAATTAGGATCGAGTCAAAGCAAGCAAGGCTAAGGTGAGTGTGTATTAGTTGGTATATTATGATGAATGAAAATAAGACTTGTGATAAGTCTATTTCCTATATTAGCATACATATAAGCATGTTATTGATATGAGCATAATTGTGATATATTATTGTATATGTGGTATGATCTGTGTGAATATATGTTATTGTTATGTGATTAAGATATCAATTACGTGATAATGGATTGTATAGATATATGGAATGTGAAGTAAGCTAAAGTATGTGAACATATGTATATAAGATAAGCCATGTGGATATGATTTATGAGAGTATAAGTATAAGTATAAGT